CTTGATGATGTGCGGACGGGCAGGGGAAGGGAGCTGGAACCGGTTCTAAATGGCACTGTAGATTTGTGGAACCTCTTCTATGGAAGAGGTTAGAACTGGCAGGAACCCTCCCCTGGTTTAGAGCTCCTGTAACCCCCTCCAGAGGATGGCCTCCTTCCTACGCTAGCTAGGAAGGCTCATTTCCATAAAGAAGCACGATTTGGGGATCCACTCAGTAGAATCCCCAGGGATCTTTACAGAATCCCCAAGAATTGGCCTTTAGGATTTGTCTTTACCTCCCCCACAGCAGGAGGAAAGAGGAGTTTGAAAGCTTAACTCGGGGAAGACAAACAAGCTCCCCATTTATCCTTCCCTGCCTGTGTCTCTCCTTGTGCCTCTGCTTGCAGGGTTCCCACGTGACTCGCTGGCCCGGTTTTTACATCCTCCAGTGGAAAATGCACAGCCCAATTCCCTGCACGGGGACCAGCCTCTCTCGGGTTGACGACGTCTTGGCTACGCTCCAGGTCTCTAACCACAAATGCAAGATCCTGTATTATTATGAGGTGCTTGCGTCCAAGGAGTTCAGGTACATAGCCAAAGTATTGGGGGCATCTGTTTATTTATTTGCATCCTGCCTTTGTTATTTTTTTAACAAATACAGTAAGCCCTCGATGTACGACCAGAAGGGAGCCCCAAATTTCTGTTGTTAAGTGAGACATTTCTCCCCCCCCCCAATATGTTTGATTTATTTTATTTATGCAACATTCCATTTCTATCAAACAGTGTGTGTGGTCAGAGTACAGTTATGGTTAGATAGTCATATTACACATCTGTGTTGTAATATTCATTTTTGCCTTGGCCCCCAGCCCTGCTGAAGCCTGCAGAGTGCCACTGGGGGCAAAAAAACCTCTGTTTTTGTGAAAAACGGCCCATTTGTTTGCAAAAACAGAGTCATTTTTACCTTGTCCCCAGCCCTGCTGAAGCCTGCAGAATGCCACTGGGGGCTTAAGGAAGGCAAAACCGCCTCTGTTTTTGTGAAAAACGACTCATTTTTTGCAAAAACAGCATCA